AGAGATAGCTGTGGGGCAAGAGAGGACCTTGCTGGACAAAATAAGAAGGCAAGGGGGTTGCTTTCCCAAGAGGGGTCACTTCTGTTCACGGGGATGCTGCAAAGGAAGAGTGGACAGTGGAGTTCCAGCAGGGAGCAGTTAGGACCACAGGGCAGCAGTTCTTCCAGCACCAACGCAGGGTTTTGCATGGACCCACGATCTGCTCCTGTTTGTTCTGGGCCTGCGCGCAGGCTACCCAGCTCTCTGAGAAATGGGAGTTACTGTAGTTGTGATCACAGCCAGGTGCAAGAGACCTGTAGCTTTTGCCCATTTTGTCTGCATCCTGTAAATCTCCAGGTGAAAGTCAACAGGAATCTGGCTGAGGGACTTAAAGGGGTGGGAGTCGGGGTGGGGAGAGAAGCACCGCTTCTCCAGCTGCTCCAGCTATGACCAGCAGGGGGCAGGCAGCCAGTCAATTTTTAACGGGAAAAATGAGCGTCTCTATGGGTCTGTGTTCAGACACATAGTCCTGCTTCGTAGATTTTGAAGAAATGAACTCCAGCGGGAAACCGGCAGCTGACTCCATGTCCAAAAGCTTACAGAAACATCCTCTCCCTAGGTTGCCTTGTTCATAGATTATGTACATGTCATTTGGCTGTTTTTAAAGTACATATAAGCTATGAGTGTTTTATTTTGTTTTACAAACTACACACCACTCTATATTCCAGCTTCCTAGTCATAAGGCTGGGGAGGTCTGTCCCTGGGCCCTGCCTTCTGGCCCCTGCATCTGGAAACCACAACCCTGCGTTTTAATGTCAGAGATCCCGCAGGGTCTGGCAAAGTTCCTTCTCAAAAGAGGGGCCAGGAGGACCTAGACTCCCTCCCGCCCAGCTCCAGCTGGCGTGGCCAGGAAGAGCATCTTCACTTCCTGTTTTCTGGGAACTTCATGATTCCCCTGAATTCTGGCTCTGCTTTTTTTCCCTATCTGCTGCTGGCAGGAGCCACTGGCCTGCAGTGAATTTCTGTAGTGTGAGGGTGGCTGCTAGGGCCAGAAATAAAGTTTTGGTTCTCACCTGTATAAACTGGAGCTTTGAAAACACGCACAGGGCTAAGGATATAGCTCGCAGGTCAAGGTGGTTTAGCACACTCACCACTCTGGGTGGATCTCCTCAGTACAGGAGCAGGACCTCTTGCTGGGCCAAGAACCTCACAGACAAAAGTCTACTTTTTAAGATTCACTTTATTCTTAAGTATATATATGTCTGTGCATGTGCGTGTGTGTGCCCACAGAGGCGAGGAGGACACCAGATCCTCTGGAACTGGAGTCCCAAGCAGTTGTGTGTTGCTAGAGTGCGGGTGCAGGGAACTGAACTTGGGTCCTCTGCAAGAGTGTCTTTAAAATATGAGCCTAGTCTCTTCATATGATTAAGAAGCCTCCCATAAGGATAACTCCAGGTCTTACCTAGCATCTTAGATATATCCAGAATATCCAGGACTGAAAATGAAGTATGTGAGGTGCGGGGTGGGGTGTAGCTGGGTGGCGGACAGATTGCCTAGCATGCTGAAGGCCCCAGGCACCCACAAGCTATGCAGTAACATTCTTACGGAAAACCTTCCTGATCTTTTGTGATAATTTCCTTAAGAAATCATCTGCACTACTGGGGGCAGAGTCTCTTGATTGCTGTACTGATTCTTCTCTACCAGCAAAACCTCACTAGCATGTGTCATTTACTAATGTTTTGTTTACTCTTACTACAATGTTCCCAGTTGTGAATAAGTTGCTCTGACGTGTATTTCTCTTATTGCTTACAAAATTAAAACTGTTTTTATGTGTTGATGGAAATTTCCTTTTGCGAGTGGTCCGTGTCCTTCACTATCTTGGGTATCTTGAACTTGCCCCCCTCATTATAATTCTCATTTAACAATATAATTCTTCACCACATACATTGAAAACATTTTCTGGTTTGCTAGTTCCCTTCTGATCTTTTGCCACATCAAAGGGTCTCTGTTTTGTCTGGGCTCTCCTCCTACTCACACCAACAAAGTGCAAAACCTCACGGCTGTGGGCGGCAACGGTGGGGAAGCAGACTGGCAGGGTCCTCAAGATGTCCCTCCATCACTACCAAGGCCACTCGGGGTGCTCATGGCGGTCCTGTGGAGCTGACGATATGGGTCACAGGTATTCAGGTGAACATTACAATGTTTCCGTGGTGTGTCCTGGGTAGAGTCTGTGTTTTGTTGGGCCATGGAGGTCCTTGTGCTCACAGACAACGCTAGGTAAACCAGGAGTGTTAACATGTGGGGTTGTCTCTTCAAAGGGGAGATACAGAACCTGTTCCCCAGGAGGCTGGGAATGGTTAATAGCCCAGGTGACCTCTGCACTATCTGCCTGACTGAGACCACACAGACCCTCCCGGCTTAGGATAACACATGTAGTCTATCTATAGGACCAGTCTTCATGGAAGAAGTGACATGCGCCTTGAGAAGAGTTTGGAGGCGATTATGCCTCCTAGTGCATAGGGGATTGTGTTACACCAGCAAACTTTTATCCAAGTTGTACTGCACTTACATATGAACTAAAATAAACTGCCCAGTGTCGCTCTGGATGTTTGAAGTGACACTGTCTGCTGAGTCAAGATGAACTAGACTTTCTTCTTCATCCACACGAATGGCCTCCTTCCCTGGTGTGTGTAGAGACCTCCAGTGTTTGGTGGCCCTCCCCAGGGTAGATGGCCTCATCCAGGCAGTTGAAGGTCTCAGAGGGGAAGGATGGTTCACACCCTCCCCTCTACAAGGTGAGAGAAGCTTCCTCCTGCTTGGTGGTCTTGGAACACATTCATTGTTCTCCTAGCTCACAGAGCCACACCACCAGCTTTCCAGGGCTCCTAGACTCTGGCGTGGGGCGGGGGCTGTAGAAGTTGGTAAATGCCAGCTTCTAGATTTACACGGGCCAGATTTCAATCATGATGGCTCCACAGACGATTCTTTTATCAACTTCAGTATGATACATAAGTGTAGCCATGTACCCACTGGGTTCTTCACTCTCAGCCCAGGGTGTCAGAGGCTCCACAAGGTTTCCACACTGCATCACACGGTAGCTTTGCGTGGGGTATTCCGTCCAGCCAAAGACCAATGTACGCAACCATGGATGTGACTGCAAGGCTGAACTGGGATGGTCGGCAGGCTGGGAGTGGTCAATGTGTTGGTAGCATTCATGATAGTTTCTCTGATTTTGACTATCTTAAGATTTTTATTTATATTATTTAACCATTTCATGCGTGTAAATAATGTGCTTTGGCCATTTCCTCCCCATTACCTTCTCTCACCCCTCCCACTCCTGTTGAGCCCCCCCTTTCTTCCCAACAAGCGTACCCCCTATTTTCCTACTTTCTGGCTTTCTGTCTGCGACCCCTGAGTTGGATCAGCGTTGCCTGTGTGCTCAGGGTGGGGGTAATTTACTGGAGCACTGGTCACTTCCCATGACTGCACCGATGAGGAAAATGTCCTCCCTTCTCCAGCAACATTAACCACCAAGAGCTGACCTGTACAGTTAGCGCCACCTTAGTCTAAAATTTTTCCAAACATAAATCATTAATAGTCTCTTCTTTTGCCGTTAATTTGGTATCGGCAAAGTTAACGAGCACAGTCCGTATTCTGGGGTTTCTGGCCCATCCAGCAGAGGCAGGTCTACTCTGGGACCCAGTGCTGTACAATTAGACTCCAAGCTCACACAGTGCTTTTGGGCACAGGGCTTGCCCTGGAGTGCGGCTGATATACCCAATGACACTCTTTTGGAGAAAATGAGCTTTCCCTTTCACAGCAGATACCAACTGCAAATAGTTTCTTGGTCAGGGGTGGGACTCTGCCCACCTCTCCTCAGTGCTGGGACTGTGTCTGCTTTGAACCTGTGCAGGCCTTGTACATGCTGTCAGCTCTGGATTCATATGTGCGTCAGTCCCGTCGTGTCTCAAGATGCTGTTCCGCCAGGCGCTTTCTCCAGGGAGGGGCTGAGGACAGAGAGCAGACACACAGCCCAGCCAGAGCAGCTGACCGTACCTGGACTCCAGGCTGTCTGGTCTGAAGCTTTTCCCTGCTCCCTGCACTGTGGGGTTTACTGTTTGCTTCTGCAGTGCCTAGAACAGCTCCTCCAGAATTAACTCCCATGGCAGCAGGTGTAACGGGGATGCTGGGGGCCAGGGGTGCCCTAGGGGGAGCATCAGCCCACAGGGTGGGTGACTGTCAACAGAGTCCTCTAGACACTACAGGAGCTGGGAAACAAAGCAAGCAGCCGTTCATCCCCAACAGACACCTCATTCCACTCACATGAGCTCAAGCACAGGTGGACCCTGGAGATTTTATGGCATCTGCTAGTAACGCTTTCAGAGATCTCAACTGCACAGTGACGACTACACTGTGGTCAAACTGGCTTTTCCTTCTCTGACTCAGGCAGTCTATCAGAAGAGTGAGAATCCAGGAATGGCTAGCCTTCCTCAAGAGTAGAAAAGATTTTAAGTAAAATAGAATTTCAAAAGCACTGGTAACATTCGTGTTTTTCTGGGCACAGCGTGCCAGTCCTCGTGGAGCTGTGAGAAGGGCCAGCAAGCCCTAGCTGGGTGGCACTAGGGACCCTGCTGGCCACAGGCCCCTCTTCCCCCCTCATCTCACTGGGCTCAGACTGAGAAGCATTTGCTCTGCCTTTCAGCAGTGAAATGGTGTGAACCAGAGCAGCAAAGCCCAGCTCGTCAGGTCACACACACTGCCACGGATGGCACATGACAGGGATTCAAATTCTTGGTTGCTGTGGGCCTGTGATTGGTGAGCAGCTCCAGGCGCAATGGTGAGACCTGGCACGGCGGCCTTCATCCGCACTCAGAGAACAGATTGCGGAGTCTGAGAACCATGATGCCCACAGTTAGCGCTACCATCTGTGGGGGCTACAGTGAAAAATGGATTAGTAGGGAAACTTTGTAATCAAGGAATTTTATCTCCATAGCTGAGGTTGAAAATAACACTCACAATAATTTATGAAAAACATTTATTTTGAAGATTAGTATAGTATGTAAGTATTCTAGTCTAACTAGAAGTTATGATTTATAATTTAACATAATAGAGCAAATTCTACATTGGAATCTTGTGCAAAATATTTTCTGATTAGTTTATGACAATTGCCACGTAAGCAACTACTTGCTAAACAGGACAATGGTTTGTTTTTGTTTTGATGTCTCATCCTTTTGTAGAGAAGGCACCCTTCAGACAGCTTCAGTGATGGAGCAGGTTATTCAGCAAAGATGGCTGTACAGTCAATAAAGCAAGCTACATTCTCATCGAGTGGGATCAAGTCTTAATCTAGATCCCAGGAAGGCAGCGGGAGCCCGGCAGCTTGGGGTTGGGGTGCAGCCAGGCCTGAGCAGAGAGCTGAGCTCCACACTGATCTCTCTTGCCACTTCCCTGCTTGGCCACATAGGGATCTGACTGAGAACAATGCCCCACGTGCTCGGGAGCTCTTCTTATCGTCCCATCCCTTCAGTGTGTCCCACCAGCTCACAGCATTCTCCCACAGTCTCTGTCCCGTGCCTTCCGAAGCCTCGGATCCTAACATCCCCCTTTCAGGACAGGAGCTGGACCACACTTTAAGATCTGTAGGCTAAATTTATTCAGAAAGGGATCCCTCTAAAATTTAAAAAGTGAAGTTTCCTTCATTGTGCTATGAAAACAAGAAAATATTTATCCTTGAAGATCTATGTGACATTCAACTTTAGGATCTCAAAGGGTCTTTATGGATAATGGGGTGGGGGGGGTCCTCACTATGTAGCCTAGGCTGGTCCCAAACTCCTGGGCTCAGGGATCTTCTAACCTTAGCCTCTGGAACGGCTGTGACTACAAGATGTTCTCACTGGCATTCACAAAGAAAGCACTTCTTCCTGACAAGAGGCTCGGTGTAGCCGATATCATCATAAAGGCACTGTGGACAGTCACGACAGACTGTCACAAACACACACACTTTAGGTGATGTGCAAAGAACAAGAAAGGACGTTTAAATGGAGAGCCAGTTCCTGAAGGTCAGAGTCTCGGCACAGTGGATGAGGTGGACATATCCACTTCCCCAGTTTAGGACCTCAACCCCTAACACGAGCTGGGAAGACCTAAAATCGCCTCTCCAGACAGCTGGCAAGCCTGGGCCGAGGTGACCTGGAGAGCTTTGCTGAGGCCTGAGAGCAGAAGACACAGGAGTGGGAAGTGCTATGAACTGAAGCAAAGAAGTGACGGGACAGCTGCCGTTCTCCCCGACACCGCCCACGGAGCTGGGACTTTACAAGGCACGTTCTCGCCCAGCACAGTCTATGTCCTCCCAGATCCTTCACTGCTGACAAATGCTGGAAGTTGGCTCAAACAGTGGGTTTCGTTAGCAGTAAGTGACAACGGCTTAGGTTTGATTGCAGTACATCTGTAATTTCCTGGTTTTGGGTACAATTTTAAAGGTAATGGTTTGTCAAGCATTTAGTAGAGGAATGATTCAGTGGTTACGAGGAAGTCATTACAGATATTCCTGGAGAGGAGAAAGGGGTTCATGTTACTATGCTATGAGAAAAGCCTTAGAACATAAGTCTGGGGGGACTGAGACTCCCACAAACACTTTCTTTCTTAAGAGATTCCAAATTCAAAATAGAAAAGAAAGCTACGTGTCCCTAAGAAGCCACAGTGCGGTTTCAAATGAAAACACAGGGTCATGCCTTTCCTCATTAACAACAAGACGAGGGAGCAGACTGTACACTGTCCAAAACCAAGAGCTAAAGGCAGAGCCACGCGCCCACAGCCATATAGCAAGAGACCCAGGGCTGGCATGACATCTAGAGACTGCGAGCTTGTTCCTAAAGTCCAAGAACAGTGATGCAGCTGATCCAGCCTACGCTGAGGAGAGCCGCAGCAACCTCCAGAAGACAGCGCACTGACCTGTCATTTCTCCACCTTCTAAAACTCTGACCGAGGGACAGAGGTGGTTAAGAGCACTTGCTGCTCTTACTGAAGACTACGGTTCAGATACCAGCACCCACAATGACATTTAACTCCAGTTCCAGGGGATCTGACACCCTCTTTTGGTCTCTGTGGGTACCAGGAACACATGCAGGAAAGCACTCATACATATAAAACAAAAATACAGAAATCTAAAAGACCCAGGCCAGCCCAACACTTCCTGTAGCCTATAGATTTTGATGGAACTTTGCTTTGTGGACTTTATTCTAAATTCACTCAAATCCAATAAATTAGCAAAACGACATAAAAACATCTGACAATGTGAGTAAACCACGAAGTGCAAAAAACGCCACTTAGTGCAAATGTCTGTAGTTATAACAGACTCCTCAAGTGTGCAGGAGGACAAAGGTCTGTACTTAGAACAGACTCCTCGATGTATAGGTGGAGACAAGCAACGGTCTGTCTCAAAAGACCGGTCACATAAGTGCTGAGAAAGCACAGGACATGCGCCATTAACCCAGCCTGCCCATCACATGGCACGGCACAATCACTACGTGTCTTTCAAAAGAAGCTCATTTTGCTTGATGGTACAGCTCAGGTGTCGCGCTTACTGAGCATGTACAAAAATGTCCTTAAAAAAACAGCCTTCAAAAATGTTTTCAGAGACCCAAATGAGCAACGCAAACTACATTCTGAATCACTGTTTGAATTAAAATGAGATTTGATACAAAGAGGACAAAAGGTCAGGGAAGAGCACAAGGAGGCAGCAAGGAGCCAAAGCCAGATCTTTGCCTGAGCCCACACTGGCTAAAGAAGCCATGAATGTACGTACTGCCAATAGCAATGAGACGGGAGAAGTTGAAAGCGGCCTGGGAAATAGCAAACTCCTCACACTCTGCAGAGGAGATTCAAGTAAAAGCTCAAGGAGAGGCTTTGCCAAAATCTCAAGTCAATAACCAAGCCGAGGATCAGGCCCACGTGCTCTCGTTCCCACCAAAGACCTGGCTAAGGAAGACCTGTCTGCCAAACCCCTGTGTGGTGAGTGTGGTGCCCTAGGTGCGCCTTCCTGGGGACAAGGCAAGCCTGGTCCTCATGTCACCCAGAGGTTGAGAAAGTCTACCCCAACCAAAAATATGCACACTAGGCTAAGGGACCAATGTCAAATGAAAAACACTATTGACCAGAGACCCAAGCCTTCTCCAACCAAATCTTCAGTCTCAGAAAGATGTAGAAGAGGAAAAAACCCTGAATTGCCATTGTAAATTCCTAAACTGTAGTTTTATTTTTAATTAAAATGAAACAATTCTGAGACTTTTAAAAAATATTCTCCAATTATGAAATAAAAAGTTAATTGTCTAAATGGTGACTTGGACTGGAATTGCTGACATGCCCTCCTGAACCAACAGAGGAACAGCGTAGCTCAACATGCGGCTACTCACTTTTACAAAGGCCATAGATTTCACCAGGCCCAGCCCAGAGGTCTGCTCCTCTACCGGTACCCCTCCCCATCCCTTTAAAATGATGCCTAAATTGAATTTAAGTAAAACATCCTTTGTCAGTAAGTCTAAACCTTCAGCTGTAGAAACAACTAAATCCAAACAGAACCCAACCTGGCCCACCTCACACACAGAAAGAAAACAGGAAGCTCCTACCTCACTCTCAACAGACAGCTGAGATCTGATCAAGAGTGTTTACTGGGCCAGCGCAGTCTGTGAATTGCCAGAGAAGCCAACAGGGCATTCCCCCTTGACAGAGCTTGGTATTTCTGAGAAAACCCAAATGATTTCAAATGCAGCTGTTATCATCAGTCCACCAGGGTGGTGCTAGTGAGATGAACGACTTTTCACATTTAACCAAGACACACCATAGATAAACTTGGCATCTCCACTAGATGCTTCCGTCTCTCATCCGCACCCACTCTTCATAGACATTGTCACACATCTTGGTCAGCTGTCTGAGGAAACCTTTCCCCATCCCATCTTGACACTCATCCCATGAAGGAAGATTCCCTCCTCCATCCCGGACATGCACACGCCACCCAGAAGAGGCTATCTCATGCGCCTTTTTGCAAACCTCTATGATGATCTGTGGCCCAAGACAAACTTTCTCTGGCAATCCACTTTGGAGGAAAAATATGCCTAATAAAAATGATGATCCTTGTCTATTTCCTTCCACTATTGTCATTTTTAATGCCTTGATGACTTCATGCATATTCAAGGAAAAACTGAACAAACTGAAGCAGATAGTGAGGACCAATATCCAAGGGAGCAGAGGGCTGAGCAGCTTTGGAGCCTTCTAGCAAGCTCTTTGGTAGTTTAGATTCTTAAAAACGTCAGTAAACTCCTACAATAATTTTGGTAAACTCCTACAATAATTTTGACTTTGCAGTCCATTCAGACTTGGTCAGAACTATTAAACTTTGACTCAGCAGCAAAAAAACAGTTAAGACAGGAAGTAAATTACTGTGTTTACAAAAACAGGTAGCTAGCCAGCAGGCAGGAACTTTAGAAGCTGATGGAGTGTCTCGACAGACAGACTCATATAGCTACAAGCAGCCCACAGACAGGAAGAAGGGACAGGAAGGAGGGACAGGGACTCACCTTGATGAACACGGCTGCAACCACAGCCAAGCACGTGACCAGCAGCATCAGCAGCCCTGCTCTGTTGAACTTTTTCAGCAGCAAGAACTTGGCCCAGCCGAGCTTGGACTGGCTGTTGGGAGGGTACCTGAGCTTATTGGCACTCTCTCCCTTTAATCCTTTTAATAAGCAGGGGCGCTGATGAGAAAAGGTGTCAAAACTATATTTCCCATGATAAGCCCCCATTCCGCTGGCACCTGAAACAAATGGAACGGATGAAACAATTTCAGTGTAGCTACTTCCCATTTCCACGCTGAAGGAGAAAGCCTGAGCGTGCTGCTTGGGGTGTAGAAACCCAACATATTTGCTTTTTTTTTTTCCTTAAAAATCTCTTCCCAACTTGGTCCCTAGCACAATCATCCGCCCTCTCAGCCTGGATGATTTCCATGAGCAGGGACACGATCTGCAGCCTTCTAGGGCTGTGCTGTCCTTTCTGTCGGAAATGTGCTAAGATGTTTCAGTGAGCTCTGTGGGGGACACCTAACCCAGCCCTGCAGTGGTCTGTACCTCCAACCCAGTTTTCAGACAGGAAAAAAGAGTTTACGGAACTAGCTGATCTGCCTGAAGTCACATGTCTGTTAAAGGAGGAAACTAAAATATGAACCCAGATTAGCATGATGCCAAACGCTATGTGTGTGCTTTTCCTATCAGTCCACATGGCCTTATTTATCCGTGGCTTCTCTCACTTGCTTCCTCTAAGTCCTTGAAGAGCAACCAAGAACAGGGTAACAAGGCTGCACAGACAGGTAAGAACAGCAAGTAAAACCAAGATCAGGGTAACAAGGCTGCACAGACAGGTACGAACAGCAAGTAAAACCAAGATCAGGGTAACAAGGTTACAGAGACAGGTACGAACAGCAAGTAAAACCCTGCCTTCCTGGAAGTCACGCCTGCGTAATTCACAATGCATACAACAGACTGCGGAAATGTCCTGTGAGTGGCGACATGTGCAATGCAATGACAGAAGGCAGAATGACTGGAAGCCAGGGGACAGCTGGAGGAGGTCAGGCCACAGCTGACTTAACTGTTTTGATGGAAGGGGTCACTTCAGAAGGCAAGATTGATTCATTGGGAAGACAATGAAGCCAGAGAGAAAACACCACGACAGTGAGGTTGGAGAGAAGAGGGCCAGCTATAGCCACGACCATGGTAGGAAGGACCCAGCAGAAAGGGGCAGATTGTGTCCACAATGCTTTCCCAAGAACAAAATGCCTTTGGCCCAACCTCTGGAGAACAGGGGACTCAGCCCGACTGCAGAAGTCACAGCAATAGACTAGCCACTGGACGGTCGTACTTACCCACACCTCCAAAGGGCAAAGAATTGACAGTGAAGTGCATGATGACATCATTGCCTGTGACCCCACCGCTGGAGGTTTCCTCGATCACCCGTTTGATGAGCTGAGGAACAGACCAAAGGCACCCAGGTCAGAGCTAATGTCCTGTCACCCCCATGTCTTTGAGTGTACTCCCTGTGGGCTCTATGGACATGCATCCTGACTTTGTGCACTGGTGCAAGTTTTTAAGTTTGAGGAAACATAAAATTCATGCCAAAAATTACTAAAAATATTGCTTAAAATTACCTTCAGACTTTGTGTGTTTTGCCTCATGAAACACAAAAAAATGCTTAAACTTGGGTCCCAACTCCAAGGCAGCTCATTTATAGGCAAATATTCTAAAATCTAAAAACTATCTGCAGTCAAGCTGGGTGGAAGATAGCACATACTTGAATCTCTGCATTTGAGAAACTGGAGCAGGCAGAGTATAAGGTCAGCCCAGGATACACAGTGATATTGCCTTTAAAGAATCTGAAATATTAAACACTTCTAGTCCCCAGTATATCACTGTGTAGATCAAGAAGGTTGGCCCTGAACCTTTAGGTCTGTTTCCTTGATCACCATCAAGATCTATACTCCAAAGCAGTACAACAAGAGACAGTTTAGAGATTACTACTTCTCTCAAGGTGGTACTGGACAGAAGCCTTCTGCCCTGCTGAATAGCTTTTACAGTACCAGGAGGTGCAACACACGCTGCTGTGGGGAGGGGTAGAGGGAATCTACCCAGCTATGAATGCTGTGAACTGCAAGAATGACAAGATATGCTTGTTGGTGTAATAGTGGCATGGGTGTTATGGGGGTACCAACCACTTTCTGTAGGAGGAAATATGTCTACTATCAATCTGACCAAGAATTCATGGCTGGGGAGCTCAGAGGCCTTAATGATGAATATACTACTAGTATCTTGTTAAACGGCCTTAGTATCAAACCACCCTCTATGTTTGCAATAGGTTAATACACCCCTCAGACCTCACTAGAGGTTTCTTTGTGCAGTGGACAGCAGTTAGCACGGAAACTCTCGACTGGTCAAAGTGAAGGGAGTAATTGCCAACAGCATGCTCCGTCTCAGATGGACATTTCTATCACACTCCTCTCTCAGAGGCTGAAGATTGACAGGAGGGAGCAAAAAGACTGTAAGAATCAGAAGATGGGAAGAGGAAAACAGTCTTCAGAAAGACCGCCGTGCTCCTGGACTAGCCAGCTATGGGCGACCACAGATGGCAAACCAGTGACTACTCCAGCATGGACAGGAGAGGGACTCATGAGCCCTACACCGATGAAGAGACACTGGCAGCTCGACAGCTCCTGGGAGAGGGAGTCAGTTTCCTTACAGGCATGCCCCTCATATCTCAACCATGCTCTAGCAGATGACCCCACACCCTTGAGTAAGCAGGAAATTAGAATTAGGGCAAGACTGGGGAATGACCGTGATCAAAATACATTATAGACACACATCAAAGTCTTGTGGTAAATAAAAATAGTATATTAAAATTATTATTTCTCAGCTGGGTGGTGATGGTGCATGCCTCTAATGCCAGCACTTGGGAGGCAGAAGCAGGAAGATCTCTGAGTTTAAGGCCAGCCTGGTCTACAGAGTGAGTTCTAGAATAGCCAGGGCTATACAGAGAAACCCTGTCTTAAAAAACGAAACAACAAAAAAGTTACTTCTCAATCCCTGATCTAAATTATAACATATGATTGACAGGTATGACATGCAAAAAATGTTAGAATTATTCTATTTTTGAGGAAGTAAATAGCTAGTTGGCCTAAGATCAGAAAAGCCTCAATGACACTGAGCTAATAAACATCATTTCACTTAGGTACTAAGAAGCCTTGGGAACTCAGGGTGGATGTCGAATGGGCCTGCAGTGACCACAGGGAAAGAGCTGCCCACCCATCTGCACGCTGCCAGTGGGCCTTACTGAACCACGCACACTCCTCTCATTTCGAGTGCCTGGAGCTATGTCAACTTCATGGTGCTGCCAGCTCCTGAAGCCACCACGTGACTACAGCACCTCACCATCAGGAACTGCACATGGCACAGGGCCAATGACCTCCACACACCGACCGGTCCCTTCTTCCTCTTTCTCATTTCATCTTTCCAGATGGACCCTGAACCTATTTGTCCACGTGGAGCCATGATCTGCTAAGAGCTGCAAGTCACCTAGCGACACAAAGGACAGGCACACAGAAAGAGGCTGCAGAGCTGCTACCCTTTGGGAGCCTGAAGTCCAAGTTCTCACGACCATCTTTACGATGTGCCAGAGGTCTCTGACTTCCCCAGCCCCATCTGAGTGGCTATGATGGCCACTTGAATCACAGGGGCAGGCTCTATGGATTCAGGCCACAAAAAGCACTACATGCTAGTACATGGAAGAGTTCTCATTATTCAGAAGGTGTTTGTTATTCAAAAGCCTGTGACATTCGTCCCTGTGAACTCAGCTCTAACTCCAGGGAGGAAGGGAAGGGGTACAGTGATAACCAAGGCTCCATTACCCAAGAAATCAAGCTATGAATGCAGCCGATCAACTTCGATATAGAAACGAGCCATCTATTCTTCACGGCGATAAAGAAATCTGGCTCCTGAGAATGAACTATTCTCTACAAAGCTTACCTTGTTGTTATGAGAAAACACATAGAGCGCCAGGGGCTTTTCACGATCATTTATGAAACTAATGGCTTCATCTACATTTTTCACAGACACTATTGGGAGAATTGGTCCAAAAATTTCTTCCTGCATCACCTTGGAATTAGGATCAACATCAGTAAGTACGGTTGGAGCTAAAAAATAAAATTAAATAAAATAACACGAATGGTCAAGTTGAAGACAGAAAAAAAAGCAACAGTCTCATCTTCTCTTCATTTCCTGGGACAGCCCCCCACGAGGCACTCCTACTGGTTTGTCCTCTCTCAGTGCGCCAGACGGCAACCTTTCCTCCCCCCAAAATCTGCTTCCAAACCCACTGTCAAACTCAGGGAGAAGTTCTACCTAGACCAAGCTAATCTCAACAGTTCTTCCTTCATTTTGTCTTTGACTGGCTTAGAAACGGGTCACACTGCCATAGGAGAAGGGAAGAGCAGCAAGACAAAAGAATTGGGATTTCTGTTTTGTTTTGTTGAAAAATTACTGAAACATCCAACCAAGGAGAATTTCTATGAATTCCTAATTATTTGCATTCTTTTATGTTTTTTTTAAACAACTGATGAAAAAAGAAAAGTAAATTAATTTTGGGAGCAGTTTCTTTTTTTTTAAAGATTTATTTATTTATTATGTAGTGTTCTGTCTGCATGTCTGCCTATCTGCCAGAAGAGGGCACCAGATCTCACTACAGATGGCACATGCTTTATCACAGCAACAGAAATTAAGATACTATGGTACACACACACACACACAATAATAAATAAAATAAGTATTAAAGGTGCGTGCGTACATACACTAAAAAACAGTACACGGAAAAGCAATATTTAGTTTATGTAAGATCAGTAAATGTTAGTAAAAATGTTGAACTATCTTCCCACAGGAAGGGCGAATTTCCTTACCTATGTAGCGTGTGACCTCATCAGTCTCCCCGCCAAAAGCTATTTTCTGTCCTTCAAGCAAACCTTGTAACCTCTTAAAGTGACGAAGATTGATGATCCTTTCATAATCGGGAGACTCTTTTATATTTTCCCCATAAAAGTCCTATTGAAAGCAACAGGAGTCACTTAAATGTCACAAAACCCACACTTCAATTCCTTTCTGGTGCTCAATTAACAGAAAATGATCTCAGCAAGGTGGCTTACTAGTCTCCGTACCACTGAACTCAGCACCCCTGGTCAAACACGCTCTGACAATGAAAATCCCACATCTCTTCAAGCCTTAGCTTATTACCAGACACAGTCTTCCTTAGTTCCTTTATGTACCCTAAATGATGGAGAACCTGCTCCAGCAACAGTTCTCAACCTGTGGGCCACAACCCCTTCACAAGGGTCAAATATCAGATGGTCTGCATATCAGAGATTTACATTATGATTCATAGCAGCAGCAAAATCACAGATGAAGTAGTAATGAAAATAATTTTATGGTTGGCGGTCACCACAACCCGTGGAACTGTACTAAAGGGTTGCGGCGTTAGGAAGGCTGAGGACCGCTGCTCTACAGGGTGCACTTTAAGTAGGTATTTACTTCACGCCTTCAAACTATTGGTCATCTGGCCCTCTACACACACGACAACTGATAACCTTCTCCAGCGAGAACCAGTATGCCACAATATGCCAAGGGCTCTCTTCAAGTAATTTGGAAATATTCTCTCAAAACCACAGAAAACATTTTGATTTTTAAGTATATGCCTCAACTAATCAACAAATCAACTACACCATTTAAGTGGACTTAACATCAACTTGGCCTTGTTCCCACAGATGCAGAGTGTGTGGGTTTTTTGTTTTGTTTTGTTGTTTTTTTGAGACAGGGTTTCTCTGTAGCTTTGGAGCCCTGTCCTAGAACTAGCTCTTGTAGACCAGGCTGGTCTTTTGTTTTGTTTTGGTTTTGGTTTTTTCGAGACAGGGTTTCTCTGTGGTTTGGAGCCTGTCCTGGAACTAGCTCTATAGACCAGGCTGGTCTCGAACTCACAGAGATCCGCCTGCCTCTGCCTCCCAAATGCTGGGATTAAAGGAGTGCGCCACCACCGCCTGGCTGCGCAGTGTTTTAATTAGCCAGGTGGTTCAGTCACATATGTTTCTGGGATTGTCTGGGTTGGGGTAAAAGTGAACAGAGATGCTGTCTGAAAGCATTCTGACTTTCATCAGTGGGACCAGAACTGCAGAACACAGACCTTCACCGTTTCCTTAATCTTCTGTACGATCTGATCTTGGAGCGAGGCTTAGCAGAGGACATAGTCTGGAGCTATGCAGGTTTGACCACAGTTCATGTACTTTCCCCAGGTTATGCGTCTGGGGAGAAAAAACAAAACCCAAACCAGAATACCTATGCAATTCAGTCATCTTTTCATTGTCACTTTGCTATGCTAAAACATCTGGCAACAGCAACTGAAGAAAGGAAGGGTGATTTTGGCTCACAGTTGAAGGGTGCTACATTGTGGAGGAAGGAGGTCATTGGCCGCAGGACCACAACACTGCGGTCACACAGCACCAAAGCCAGGGAGGAGAGCAACCAACACTTATGCTCAGTTTACCTTTTTTTTCCCACCACAACTCAGGTTTAGGTTGGGTCTTCCCACCTCACTTAACCTAATCTAGACAAACCCCTCACAGACACGTCTACAGAGTTGTTTTCATAGTGCTTCTAAATGCCATCACGTTGATGACAAAGATTAACCATGATGCCAAACATATGGTTTTGTATATTTAGTTAGTAATTATCAAAAACAAAAGAAATGAAAACTCTGAACTGTAGATCATCTAGTTAGAACTAGTTAGTTGTAGATCATCAACTTAGAATGCATTTCCAGATTTCTTTTTGATTTGGGGTGTGTGAGTGTGCACACATAAGCACGCATGCCACAGTGTGTAGCGGGAGGCAGAAGACAACGTTCGGGGATTTGGGGAGTTGGTCCTTTCTGCCTAGCTCAGGTGGGGCCTCTCTTCTGTGTGCTTGCTGCATACTCAAGCCCTCCCTCCCATCTACTCAGACTCTGGCTGGTTTTTGTTTTTTTTATGGTTTTGGTTTTTCAAAACAGGGTTTCACTGTGTAACTTTGGCTGTCCCAGAACTCACTACGCAGACCAGGAAACTCACAGAGATCCACTTGCCTCTGCCTCCCAAGTGCTGGGATTAAAGGCATGCGCCACCACCTCCCAGCTAGAATCTGCCTTTTTAAAAACACAGGTTCCAGGAATCAAACTCAGACTGCCAGATTTGTGCATCGAGTACTTTTACCACTGAACCACGCCACCAGCCTTTAGCACACATTTTCAAGTGAGGTAAAATATTCTAAATAGCAAGAAAATTCTCAGAGCCGGCCTGGTAAACAGTACAAGCTATGAAGACACAGCCTGCAGAGAATGGGCCCAGCCTCCCAACACTCCGTCCTATCTGAGCCAGCCAAAGGTCACTCTGGATGCCGAGCATACAATTCAGACTCCGGCTCTCCCAGACTGTAGTTCTGTTGACAGGCTGTGCAGAGGGGGCACAACCAACATCCCCTACCATGCACCCTTGTGTGGACCCTTCCCCTTCCTACATACAGACAAAGCCCACAACCTCAGCATTCACTGATGCTCTCTTTTTCTGGAAGTCAGCTCTATTTAAAGAGGCCAAGCAGCAAGGCTGACCCACCTCCCCAGTACCAGCTCTGAAACCACGCTACCCAGAGCATACTTGTTTCCTAGTCGTCAAACCTATCTTAGTATAGAGAAAAACTCTTATTTTCTGGTTCCCAGATGCAAAATGCTATTAAAGGCCGGGCGATGGTGGCGCACACCTTTAATCCCAGCACTTGGGAGGCAGAGGCAGGCGGATCTCTGTGAGTTCGAGACTAGCCTGGTCTACAAGAGCTAGTTCCAGGACAGGCTCCAAAACCACAGAGAAACCCTGTCTCGAAAAACAAAAAAAAAAAAAAAAAAGAAAGAAAGAAAAGAAAAAAGAAAAAAAATGCTATTAAAATATCTCTCATACTGTCTTGTGAACAAAGGATCTCAGCTACGAAGTGAATACGACACCCTTTCAACTGAGTGTTTTTATTCATACACACAGCCCTTTGGATTATCATTCTTCTAAGCTACTGGCTCAGGGTGTAGCTTAATGTGGATCACAGGCTTACCATAATTTGATCCCAACACTGGAAAAGAAAAAAAGAGCAACCCTGGGAAAATTTCTCTCCAGGTTTATCCATAAGAATATTTCCAAACTTCCTGAGGAAGACTACATGCTGGCAGGACCTATGTGTGGCTCCCTATTCCAGCAGTGACATCAGAAGACGATTTGAGAGGCACTGGCTACTCTCGGGCACACCAGCCACTAAAGTTGATGAACCTTGAAGCCGTAAGTCATGAGGTTCACGTGTAAAGGAAAACAGCCATTAGAAAAAACTTCCATCTGCTGGAGAAAACCTCAGGAAAGCAAAGCCAGCCTCACCTGCAAGCAACATCCAGATCACAGTCTCTGTCAATGTAGCAAGGGCTTTTCCCACCGAGTTCCAGGGTCACAGGGGTCAGATGCTTGGCAGCAGCTTCCATGACAATCTTTCCTACCGCGGTGTTGCCTGTGTAGAGAATGTGATCGAACCGCTGCCTCAGGAGCTCTGTGGTCTCCACAACACCACCATTAACAACCGCATACAGGTCCTCAAAGAAAGAGAAACAGATTCTTGCACTGTCAAATTAATCTTAAGGCCTCACGTCAGCAATTCTTCAACACTGATAAGGTGCAGTCAGGAAAACCAAAAGATCAAGATCATCTCCTACGAGGGACAGATCAGGAGGTGACCCAAGACAGAGGGAGGATGACGGATCTGCTGGTGATCAGGAACTATCAACCGACACAGGCCTCAAAGTCCAATATTTCCTCCATGAGCTTGGCAACAAGAGCACAAAGGAGAGCAAACAGTTGGATTCCACGGGGAAATGTGCAAGATGCGGGGAGGGGATGGTGAGGTTCTTTTGCTGCTGTTCCGCTGTGTTTTGCACAGTGCTGGGGATCCAACCCAGAGCCTTGTACACATTAGGCCAGTGCTCTACCTACTGAGCTGCATCTCCAGCCCTGCAGTTCATGTCTTAATCCCAATGTTCTCTCTCGGCCCAGTACAAAGTACAGCAGGGCTAAGCCCAAGGTACCTAAGTCCATATCTGCCCAATGAACAGGACCCAGAGCATCACCGCTGAGGGCACTTGCTTTTGAAGTAGATCTGAACTGAATTGAGGCTCTCCACTTGCTAGCATCTGTGACTTTAGGCAAGCTGCCAAACCTTAGGCAATCTCTGAACTTGTTACCAGGAAAAGTCTCATAACATCTGTACAATGCCCATTATAGGCGCTGTGCTGCCTTTAGGTGGCTACTTAGAAAATACTTTTAATAATAACAGCAAGGGCAGAAAGTAGTGGCTGAGAAGAAGTGGCAAGGAAACGGTGAGGTGGTGCGAGCGCCTAAGCTGTACGATGGATGAGCGGGCGTGTCAACCTCTGTCAGCATTTGATCTCTTGCTCCTTAGAAGGCTAATTAGTTCCTGGTCACTTTACAGTTCAACTGACTCACGTACTTTTAATTTTTCTGTGCTTTAATCCACAGTTAAGTTAATCCACCAGACAACTGAAGCGGATACATTATCATCCTCCCCATTTGGACCATCAACTATTAAAGAATTTACACCTGGGAGGGACAAATCGAGACCTCAATCCTCTACCTTCTGGTTCCAAGTCCTACTGAATCCGTGACACTTACTCTCTTCCATTTAGACTGGATAACCAAGCTATTAGAACCAATTGTTCTGAGAGCTATGACGACAGTGGTAAGACAATAAAGAGCAAAATCACTCTAAGAGCTAGAGCTGGTCACGGGGACACTGCATATCAAGAAACATAATACTAATTGGGTGTTTTAAAGCTGCCTTTTGATGAAAGTTAAATGAGTAATCTCCCCGGCAAAACTGTGGGAACCCAGCAGCCACAAAGCAATCAACTTCCTCTCTAGAGGTCACAGGAACTTCTGGATCTGATCCGCTACCGAAAAGCTGGGTCTCACGCTCCCTAGTCAGCCTTCGACGCTCTTCAGGGCCTACACGCTAGTTAACTCAGAGTGCTGGTTCGGGAAGGCACTTTTCTTCCAGCCACAAGCATGCTTTTAAAAAGCAAGCATACTCATATAATAGCACACATGATGTTCTGGTAGGAAAACGGACAGTGACAGAAACATGCTAGCCTCTCATCAACAAGTTCACTACATGAGTGATGTCTAAAATAGTATCCTTGGAAGTGCCAGGTGGTAGAAAAGAGACACATATGAAGCCGCAGCCTCAACACTCTGTGTAATCATAGTTGCTGGGTCATTCTACAGTGAATTTTGCAACCTGGCTTCCTTTATTAAACCAACTGTTGGAGACTTAAGGAAGCCCCACTGATCTGCAGCCAGCAATGACATCACTAGCAGAAGAGTCAAATCTGTGTTTTCCACCATAAACAGATGGGTTGAAGATGGACCAAGATAGTCTTACCTGGTCTAAATACTGAGGGAGGAGTTTAGCCAAGAGTTTAGCCGTGTTTTCACTTAGTTCTGAAGGCTTAACAATCGCAGCATTTCCTGAATAAAGTGGATAGCAGAACATCATCATCCAATATTAGGGTAACTTTAACAGCTACCAAAGCAACACTCATGCAGGGCACGGGCTGGTTCATGTATTTCTGCAGCTCTTAAGTCTGTCCCGCCTCACATCGCGTGTCCTCTTTCTTTCGTGTCTTCCTTCCCAAGCACTAACCCGTTGGCTCTCACATCCCCAGGCCACTGACAACAGTCTCTCTAGCTTCCCACACTCCCCAGATTTCTATATCTTTCTCTGCACTTCTACCATGGTTCTCTCTCTGCCCTAGAATCACTGAGCAAACAGGTTATATCAACCAGAGCTTTCAAAGTAAGAAATCAATCTGCTGTACACTTGAGCTAACATTACACCATTATTTGAATAAAGAAACTAGTCAAGCCGGGCGGTGGTGGCGCACGCCTTTAATCCCTGCACTTGAGAGGCAGAGACAGGCGGATCTCTGTGAGTTCGAGACCAGCCTGGTCTACAAGAGTTAGTTCCAGGACAGGCTCCAAAACCACAGAGAAACCCTGTCTCGAAAAACCAAAAAAAAAAGAAACTGGTCAAATGAAACTAAATGCTTTTTTTTCTAAAGGCAAAGCCATCAACAAGAATCACATTAGAATATGGACGCCTGACTCTGAGATCTTAAGACTACTAACTCAGATGTCTTTGACTCTTAGATTCACCCCCTAAGTACTTCAGCATTCGTAAGTACAAGATACATATGAATGCTTAGTAAGTTGCTGGTGTCAGCCAAGGCAAACCACCAAAGCAAATGTATTTAACTAGACACCATACTTAACTTACAACCAACATGACACAGTTAGACCCTTGAGACAGGAATAAAGCCATCAGCGGGCACCAGACCTGCAGCGATGGCTCCCACCAGAGGCTGCATGATAAGAACAAAAGGGTAGTTCCAAGCTCCGATAATCAATACGACTCCCAGAGGCTCTGGCTGAACATAGGCCTCATCCAATATGGTAAGCATATTCTTCTTAGCTGGTTTAGCAGAAGCCAATTCAGGAAGATTTGCGAGCATAAAATCAATTTCCCCCAGGATGGTAATGACTTCATGGCTGTAGGCATTGAGTTTGCTCTGGAAAAGAAAACCAGTCACTCTTACACAAGAGTACAGTATAATTGGCCAAGGACAAGGGTCCTCGACCTGTGGTCACGACCCACACAGGTGCCACACATCAGCTAATCTGCATATCAGATATTTACATTATGATTTGTAACAGTAGCAAAATTCCTTTTATGAAGTAACAGTGAAAACAATTTTATGGTTGGGTCACCACAACATGAGGAACTGTCCTGAAAGGCCGCAGCATGAGGAGGGTGGAGAACCACTGGCTTAGGGTGGCCCATGGCTCAGACCCAGTGTATCTGCAGTGACAACCGGTGTTACTAGACACCCACCCCCTCCCCAGTTTGCTATCAGATTTTTTTCTAGCCCTCCAAGTTCTCAATAAGACACACCCTGGATACTCTTCCTGGCTCTTCCTCTCTAAGATGGCCAATGCCTCTGAAAAGAAATTAGCTCTTTCAGCAACGCCTCCCTGATGGATAGCAGCCTTCCTCAGTCATGATTTCAGTACTATGCATACTTCATCCTTAGCACACTGGTTTGTAACCATGTTCCCACTTTATCTATATATGTTCTACTTCACGGCCTGGTTTAAAATTCTTCAGTAACCCTATGTATGTACGTACAAAGACACACAAAATAGCTGACGCTTGCAGAACGGCTGGTCAGTATCTTATCTTTGTTTACCACCACAGCTGCTCTTTACCAAAGTACTCTGAAGGAAGGCTTGTAGCTACTACTCTCATTACTACTACAGCAGTTACCACTTTTTGCAATAGTCTTTGGGGAAGGGTGGATTATAAATCTAAAAATAAAAGTCATACTATGCCTGGAATACAGTTAGAAAGTAAAAAGAAAAAAAATTAATAGAGAGTACAGGAGAATATAGTTATACCTCCAACACTACTTTAAACCTTGGTATCCAAAGCTTGCTTCTAAAGAGGCCATGTGATATCGCCTGGGACCTCATTAGAAATCTCAGACACTGTCTCTGACGGACTGAATCAAGATTTGTATTTTAAAAGTCCCCGGAGTGACTGTCAGTGTACTAGCGTTTAAGCAACATATGTCTAATGATACACAACGTCATGAAGGAAAATATGAGTGTTGAAGATTACTTTAAAAACAATATTGTCTACAAGAAGAACCTATTAAAGAAAAAGTTAAGAAATAAGGCAGCGAGTGAAATATCTGAACTTTACCAAGCGAACAAACTACTGACACTCAGAAGACCCAGAGAGTTAAGAGCACACTGTAAGGAAAGAGCCTATAAATGCAGTAGAAACGGGCAAGCCTACAAAAAGCATTCGCAGAAGAGAAACTGCGAGCACCAGGTAAACACTTCAACGTGTGCAAACACAACGTTCAAGGCTCTAAGCAGAGCTGGAGTCCGGAGTACCTCTGCTCCCTCTTCACTGCTGGATAAACAAAACAACCTGCTACAGCACGGAATAAGGGGAATAAGGGCTCGCGCCCGGTCCCTCCCACCCCGCGGACGCTCACCTTGCTCAGGTCCGCCGCGATGGCTGCCAAGATGTCCTCCTCGCGCTCCTGCACCATCCTCCGCAGGGCCTCGAGTTGCTGCTGTCGGAAGCGTAGCGGCCGCGATCGGCCGGACCGGAACGCCTGACGAAGCCGCTGGACCTGACGCTCCATGGCCGGGCTGCTGAGAACGCAGAGCGGGGTAGGTGTGGCCGCACAGTCACGGAGATGCGCGGACTGCACCCGGGCTCACCCTGGCCACCCGCCTACCGGCCCAGACCAGGCCTCCAGGTAAGCCAGCCCCACAGTTCCGCCGCTAACGACGCGACGCGTTGGCCGGGCAGCCGCACGTGACTGAGAGGCCCCGCCCCCGACCTCTAGCAGAGCCGCTGTACCCTGGTCCGCGGGCGTCCGGAGAGGGCGTGCGTTTAGTGGCCGGCGGACGCTCGGAAGGCGGGCTCTGGCCTCAGAGAAGGGCGGAACGACCTCTCGGAGGAGGAAATGAGGCCCCGGGGGCGTGCTCGCCCAGCCGGTAGCGGACTCCTTTCGCCCCCCAGCCTCTCAGACTCAGAGGCAAAGTCTCGGGCCGGATGCGAACGTGGAGCAAGCCAGGCGGCCGGCCTGGTTGACGCGACGCAGCGAAGATGGATCCAGTGTACACACGCCAGCTTTGTCATCGCTGGTTTTTAATTCTCCAGTGTTTCTGTTCCACTGTCTGGTAGAACTGCTTCAGAAAGGGAACCCGCACCCAGGTTTCCCAAAATTTCCTCTCCGGACTGATTAGCAATGGTGGACATCCGGCCCCGTCTGGAGCTGCACAGCAATGGTGGCCATTTAGGGTTGTCCTTCCCATCTTCTGGAATGACTAAATGTTGTTCTCTGTTTAGACTTAGAATGGGCGCCTTCCTTACCGTTAAATTCATTAGAACTTTTGATTTATTCTCCACCAAACATACTTCCTTCAGTGTTCCCTAACTCTTTAACCTTAACTTCAGAATAGATGTTGAATCCAATAATTAATGGTTCAAACCATAACATATATCTGTCAAGTTGGGCATAGGCCCCAGCCCCTCGCATCAATCCCAACCCCCAGGCCTGGTCTGGACTCCAAATCCCAACAGGCCAGGTCCTGACCCTTCCCTGGGGATGGGGTCAGGACCACTCCCCAGAGTATTTAAGTGATCTCCCAAAAACAGGAACACATGGTCTCCCTTTCTTCCTCCCCGGGGTCACATTTCCCCGGCTTCCCGGTTCCCCCTCGGAGCCACCCAAGAGTGCAGAACTCCCATTAACCTGGATATTTCTTAATTCGGCTTGTTTTGATTTGGCTTGATTGGGAGTTTTGCAAAGGCAGGGAGCTCGTGTTGGGAAATATTCCTAACAATATCTACTATATCTATATATCTATGTATGTATCTATGTATGTATCTATGTATCTATCTATCTATCTATCTACCTATCTATCAACAGCATCCTAATAGACTCCCTGCTTGATTGCTTAGATAATGTTACTTCTTAATCCTACACTACTCTGTACTTCAGGGGCCCATAGGAGGTTCTCCTCCCTTCTCAACCTCTCAGGAAATCCTACCAGAAGGAAGGACCACCAGGAAAATCAAAATTTCTGTTTCTCTTTGTATTCAGTAGTGTGGCACATGCTGGCATGTCTGTGGTGGAAGGGGAGATAAGTGTATTCCTGCCTCCAGGAGCGATGAGATGCAGCTGAAACCTTTCAATCTGTTTCTCGTCTTTGATACCACCTGGTTCTTCCTTCTGCTGGTGTTTACTCCCACCTGTGTGAAGTAACTGGGCTGGTTTCTCTCTCCTGACTGCAAAGTTTTGCCATTTCCTGTTCCTCACTGAGCTATCACTGGTATTTTCAGAACATACGCAGACTTCTATTAGCTCCCTGCTCAAATCTCTCCAGCAGGTTCCTGTCACACTGAGAATAAAATTCAAAGTCCACGCCATCCTCTGTAAGCCCTATATGTCCTGCACTCTGGGTGCGCCTCTTCTCACCCACACACTGAGTTCAAGCCAGAGTGACTTCCTTGCTGCTCACTGAGCACTTGAGCACATTCCCTTCCAGGCGTTTTTTGGCACTCTGCGTCCTTTGTCTGGAGTGCCCAGCTAGCTTTCTCAATCGTGTGGCTTGCACAATAGCCTGTGAGTTGAGTTATCTGAGGCCCTTCTTGGTGAAGCAAGACAATTGGCAAGGCCACCCCACTGTCTCCAGACCTCAGCTTTGCTCTCACTTCAAAACAAACAGCAAAACATTCAGTTTGGATGTTTCGTGGGACTGCAGCTGAGAAAGTGTAGGAGGAGCAGGCTCCTAATGTTACAAAACAGATCAGTAGCCTCGGCACACACAACCCAGTATTACCTGTGTGTAGCAAGCCACAGTCCAAGGTCAGTATCTATTCTGTGTTGCAATATTGAAAATAGCTCAGAGTTCATCACAGGAGAATGCTTGGTTACCTTTTTTTTTTTTTATTTGATCAGAGAGTGACCAATTTTAAACTCTTGAGTGCCCAACCACTGAAAGATGAGTCTTCACTGTCTCTTAAATATGTTCTACATTGGAGAAGCCCATTGTCTCAGGGTTTCTATTGCTATGGTAAAGCACCATGGCCAAAAGCGACTTGGGGAAGAAAGGGTTTATTTCAGCTTTCACTTCCACATCACAATCCATCAGTGAGGAAAGTCAGGGAAGGAACTCGAACAAGGCAAGAACCTGGAGGCAGAAACAGATGGCAGAGGCAGTGGAGGAGTGCTGTACTGGCTTCTTCCTCCAGGCTTGTACAGCCTACCTTTTTAGGCACCCAGGAGGAGGGGCAGCTCCCACAGTGAGCTGGGTCCCCTCCATCAATCATCAGTTAAGAAAAAGAACTGTAGGCTTGCCCACACGTTAAGCTGGTGGGCACATTTTCCCAACTGAATGAAGTTCATTCTTCCCAAGTGACTCTGGCTGCTTTCAAGTCGACATAAAATAGCCAGCATAGCAATTGAGAGCATTTTGTTGAATATATTTAAAAAACATATCCAAATACTCCCAACAAAACAGTATAGCTATGGCACCGAAAAAGGACTAGAATTATATGTATATGTATTCCCAACCGAAATAGTCTCCCTTCTAGTTTTTGAATATCAAATATTCATTGACTTAAATGACTAAGGACCAGGAAAATCATCACTTCAAGATTAGGGGTGTGGAGTAGCTCCCCACAAACTTCTTCCAAAGACAGCAAGTTGGTAATTTAAGAAGGCCCCCCCCTTTTCAGTTAAAACATACTTTATTGAGGGTAACTCATTTACTGCCACAACCTCAGAGCCTCTTCAGGACAGAAACCCATCCTCAGCACATAGATTACATCAGCCAAGTACCTGGTGGCCCAAATCTACCCAGATGCTCACCTTGAACCTTTGTTAAGATTCTCATGAAAAAGGCATGAAATGCATCTGACCCTAGAGCACACTCTGGCTAATGTTTTAACAACCAAAGGAAATGAGTCCCTGAGAATAAATTTGGTGCTGAAGAAGGCAGAGCTCGGAAGGAGTGGCTTCATAAGATGTACTGAACAGTGAGCTTGAAGCTTAAATACACTTTTCTGCTCTCAGCAGTTCATGAACTGATGGACTTCCAAATTGTAGGGACCCAAAGTTTGAATTGTCACTTGTTATAATAATAAACTTGTTGTTAACACCAGTACAGGTCAGGAAGAATTCAAACATCTTAAAAGTTGATATTCTTTTCCTGTCTGATAGGAATTAGACAGTTTAACAGCTGAAACTGCTGATGATTTCGAAGCAGTAGATATATTCCTGCAGAGAAATGGGTCCTGAGCAAATCACACCCAGCTTCCTAGGATGTGGAAGCACAGCCCCAAAGGAGGCAGAGAGCCTTGGGCACACAGATGCACACTCAGCCCTCAGAGGTTACAGCAATTCAACTCTATTTACCTGCCCTTGAAATTTTTCTCTGCCAGAAATTGAGGAAATGGAAATACACTATTTTTGTAACAAAGGTTTCATTTTATTATTAAATGTATACAAATTCTTACAAAGTTAACCTATGTATATATCTGTCTTTATTCCTCTACTCAGTTGTTCTACAGAATTCCCAGGGGATAACAAATACATGTTTAGCTTTTGTAGTCAAATAAAATTTCAATATGTTTATAGCAATTTATAGTCCCCACCGGTCACTTTCGGCAGCCTCTCCAGCATTTGGTCATGTCAGGGTCCTACAACTGCCATCCTAGTTGGTGTACAGTGATACCTCACTGTGGCTTTCAGCTTGTACTTCACTAAGGAATAGCGAGAGTGAACGCCTTTTCCATTTGCAGGCATTTCTATGGCTGATTCTACAGAGTGAGTTCCAGGACAGGCTCCAAAGCTACACAGAGAAACCCTGTTCCGCAAAACAAAACAAAAAAGAACAAATTTTATAGTTGAGTTGCAGAGGCAAGTGGATCCTTGCATTCGCCTGGACTACAGAGAGTTCTAGGACCATCAGACTACACAGAGAACCCCTATAACCTAAAAGAAAAAAATAACAGGCAAAAAATGAAAAACAACAAAACCCAACAGATTTTGTGAGTAGTGTTGAAGATGTCAGCTTCAATTGGAACCTTAGGCACCTTAGATGCCTTTCCTCGCACTCATCATATTTGTTAGCAAATCCTAGCTTTGATATTTGATGTTGTTTGTATCCACATACCAACAATAGTGAGAAAAGGGCACACTCGGGTAACGAAAGAAAGAAGAGACACAAGTCTTCTATGAAAAAAAAGCATTCAGATGGCAGATGGCATAATTTTCATGAACATAATCTTTGAAAATAAGGAAACCCCAAAGGAAGGTGATAAGACTGAAGAATAGATAAGACAATAAGGAAGGGGCAGAGGCTTAAAATTAAAAGTAAGGAAAGAAGAGGAAAGGAATAGCTTAAGAGAGATAAAAGTCAGAGAAGAAACACAGAGAGATAAAGTAAGCAAGAGGCATGAAAAGACGACATTTAACAAAATAGCTGAAGACAGAAGCCAGACGAGTGTCCCATCACTCACTTCTATGATGACACAGAGACAGGAAGAAGTGGTCCCCAGCGGCTGGGGATTTATAGGAAGAGGTCTTTTTAAAAAGTTCAGAGTTGTACTCTCGGTAATGAAAAAGTTCAGGAGTTGGATAGTAGTGGGAACAGATAGCAACTTGGCCGGAATGTCCCAAGGGTCACTGGAGTTTACACTTACGATGGATATAAAAGTCTGTATTGTGGTTTATTTGTTTTATTTTACTTTGGGTTTTGGTTTTAGAGACAGGCTTTAGCTCAGACTGACCCTGAGTTTCGACCCCCCCCCACCTCTTAGTGCTGTAGATTATAAGGCAGAGATGCCACACAGAGCCAAGAATTTTATCAATAACAAATGAAATGGTAGAGAAAAGCATAGAAGATTCTTCAATACGGTGAAGGAGCGTTTATGAGAAACTGGGGCTCTAAAGATGGCTCAGTGGTTCCAGAGGACCTGGGTTCAGTTCCCAGAACCCACATGGTGATTCATAACCACCTGTAACCACAGGTCTAGGGACCAATGCCCTTTTCTGACTCCTCTGGGCACCAGGCACATATCTGGTGCCCATACACACATGCAAGCAAACACGCACACACATAAAATTTAATACATCTAATTTATTTTTTAATTCAAGAAAAAAAAATCACCAAAAGATGAAAGATTTTTCTTAAAGTTGGGGTCAAGATAAGTTTGAACTCAGTATAGTATTAGAAGTTAGAAGTAAAAAGAAATTAGGCAAAAAAAAAATCATTGAAATTAAATAGGAGTAGGTAAACTTGTTTGTTAATATCTTGGCCAATCCCAGCAAGCCAGCTTCTTAGGAAATGGGTGCTTCTCAATGTTTTCTCATAGCTGATGAAATGCCAGCTTCTGAACAGGCATATTTTAGTCATTGTCCTCATAAAGCCTCTGTGTGAAGACGAAACCCTCCCTTCCATTTATAATCTCTTCCCAAGTCAGCAAGAAACAATTTACTCTGAGGCCCTTTGTGTTTTGAGTTCTTCACTAACTGTGATGTTAGCTTCACAAATAAATAAACTTAGAAATATTAATGAAGGAACAATTTACATTTTTGTGACAATGAGCCAGAATTTGGCCAATCACAAACAGCTAAGCTTCAGTCAGTCATAGGCTCCCAGTAGGATTTTTTTCAAGTGAACACCTGTGCAGTATCATGCTCAAATAAGACAAACCTGGCTGGGACCAATCAACTCCTTTTTGACTGTGCTTTGTGTTCTGCTCACTACTCGTGTTGGGTGGAGCTTAAGAAAGCCCTTTTTGACAGAAGCTCAAGGAAGTTCTAAAGCGTACTGGCAAACCTAGGAGAGAGTTATGCAGTCGAACCGTGAGTGTGAGCAATGGTGCGAGAGGGTGAATCCAGAGAACAAGGCAGCCCTGGAGGCGTGGGTAAGAGAGACTGGCATCCGCCTGGTGCAGGTCAACGGGCAAAGAAAGTATGGCGGGCCATCCCCAGGCTGGGTGGGCAGCCCGCCACCTTCAGGGTCCGAGGTGTTTATTGGACGACTACCCCAGGACGTTTATGAGCACCAGCTGATCCCACTCTTCCAGCGCGTGGGGCGTCTCTACGAGTTCCGCCTAATGATGACCTTCAGTGGCTTAAACCGTGGCTTTGCCTGTGCGCGCTACAGCTCACGGCGCGGTGCCCAGGCCGCCATTGCCACTCTGCACAACCACCAGCTGCGCCCTTCTTGCCAGCTTCTGGTGTGCAGAAGCCCCGAGAAGTGCGAGCTGACAGTAGACGGGCTGCCTCCGAGCTTGAACCGCTGCACGCTACTGCTCGCCCTCCAACCTCTGGGTCCCAGCCTGCAGGAGACATTGCTGCTACCCAGCCCTGGGTCGGCGCCCTCTCAGATTGCATTGCTCAAATTCAGCACACACCGAGCCGCTGCCATGGCCAAAAAGGCCCTGGTAGAAGGGCAGTCACGCCTTTGTGGAGAACAGGTGGCTGTCGAGTGGCTCAAGCCAGACCTGAAGCAGCACTTCCGCCAGCAGCTTGCAGGTCCCTCACTGCGACTCCTCAGGCCGGATGGCAGCCCGCAGAGCAGGGACAGGCTAGGGTTCCAAGGGGCTCGGGCCGCTCTGCAGCTGCTTTGTCAGCGAATGAAGCTGGGCAGCCCAGTGTTCCTTATCAAGTGTTTAGGCACAGGGCCTGCTGGCTGGCAGCGCTTTTGGTACCAGGTTGTAATCCCTGGACCCCCAGTGCCTTTCAGTGGCCTCATTTGGGTTGTGATGGCCTCTGATTGGCAGGATGGGCATGAAGTGGCCAAGGATGCTGTTTCTGCGCAGTTGCTGGAAACACTGAGTGAGTCTAGGACCAGCTTGTGGTCTCCTGGGGCTGAAGCTGGTACCATGATTAAGCAGTGACCCCTCTCCCTCTTCTCTGCAGGCATTCTAAATGGGTAGGCAGAACCTGTGCCTGTCCCCAGCCCAGCAGGCCTGGGCAGCCACTACTGAATCACAAAGTGACAGGGCCTGGCTACAGCTTCCTTGCTAGGGCAAACCCTGTCACACCTAAGTGCTACTTTAGTTGTGAAGAACTTTGCCTTTCCCTATTGAGCCCAGGGTCTGATCTGACCTCCGGCCTAGTATCCTTGGTCAATTCCCAGTTTGACAAGTAACTCACCATACCCACACAAGAGAGCTTACTATGAATCTGTGTTTTTATTTGAGCCAAAGGCCCTTCCACCACTTGTTACTGATTTGGGCTTACCTGGTTTTCTTTTTCTACATTGGTTGTATTTATATTAAACCCCTGGTTGGTACACACATGTCTGTCTGTGCTGTCTTGCTATAACAGTTTGTTTTACAATGGTAGGGTGAGCAAATGCTTTCCCACTATGGGGCCATGAGTTCATAAAACAGAGTATTGGGAACTCCTTTTTGGGGACCTGGGGTGTCACTCAGTAGCAGAGCTAAGCTTATACTCAAGATTGTAGGTTCAGTCTACAGCATCAAAACACAAAGCTGTCTCAGAAAACACAGCTCCTTGTCCTGACATTGTCCTCGTGCCCTCAGTCACTGTCGTCATCGCTGTCCTTCGCCACCTCCTCTGGAGCCTTGGCATCCTCCCCATCTTCTCTCAGCCCTGCAAAGAAGTCATCAGTGCTCCAGGCCTTACTGCTCAAGGCACGAAGCGGTCCTCCCTTTTTCTTGCGTCGCCGATAGTCGTCCACAACCACAGTCCGCAGCTGAGTCATGTTCCAAAATTTGAGTCGCTGGTCATGGCCACTACTGGCCAAAAATTGGCCGCAATGGGACAGGGCTAGCTCCTCCACAGGCTCCCCAACGTGCTGGCCCACAGTGCCTANTCGAGACAGGGTTTCTCTGTAGCTTTTTTTGGTTCCTGTCCTGGAACTAGCTCTTGTAGACCAGGCTGGCTTCGAACTCACAGAGATCCACCTGCCTCTGCCTCCCGAGTGCTAGGATTAAAGGCGTACGCCACCACCGCCCTACTTATATTCTGAATTCTTATGTTATTTTTAATTGATATTGCTTTCCAGATAAACAGTCATATTATCTATAGGTAATCTTAATTTCATATTCTATCCAAAAGATTTTTTTTCTGTTTACTTACTGTGTTTGCTTTTATGCATGTGCATGTGTGTGCACAAGTATTATGGCAAATATGTAGAGGTCAAAGGACAACTTGTGGGGGTCAGTTCCCTCCCCGCCTGATGATCAAACTTGGATCAGCAGGCTCAACAGCAAATCCCTTTAACCACCATCTTTCTTCCCCTACAGATTTTTCTGTCACCACCGACATCTTCTTCCCTTTGGACTAATGCTGTAACAGTTGATTGTTATGATAACAGAAGTGATGTTGCTGTCAATGTTTTTCTACTAAGTAGCATGCTGATTTGGGGATAAGATACATGCACATACATATACACTTCTTAGTATGTATTTGTGCAATTCTTTAAATGATATCTTCAGAAAATAATCCATGAAATTTATTTTACTGTTTCCAGCAAGAAGGTGGAGTATCTGTCACACACCATTTTAGTGTTCATAGAAATGGTTCCCTCACTTCTCTCCTTAAAACTACTGTGATTCTTGACAATTACTGTTTTCTTCGTGTTAAACTATTCCAGCTATGATATTCCTTTATGGAACCGATGGATCCTTTCCATAATATTTAATATTTTTGCAACGATATTTATTGGCAGGATTGTGCTGTAATATTATTTTTGTGTTTCTTTGTTAGATTTTGTTAGTTATTCTCACTTGATAAAGGTAATTAAAAATGTTTTCCTAGCTGGTGAGATGGCTCAGTGGGTAAAGAGACACTTGCCACCAAGCCTGACGACCTGAGTTTAATCCCAAGACCCACATGGCAGAAGGCAAGAACTAATGCCTACAAGCTATCCTTGGGCCTCCACATGGTAAAAATAAAAACTGCTGTTCTTTCTATAGGCCGTGGGGAAATGTCAATAGTACAGAAATATCCTTTTCATTTCATTTCTCTTGTGAGATTATTCTAAACAACTGCAGTGACCCCATCTTTTGGTTGACTTTATCTTGCTACCACTGTCTTGGTTTCTTTTGTAAAAGTTGGGCTACTTTGACTTTCTGTCTTTCACTGTCTCAGTTTTAGCTAGGGGTGCTGAATATGACCCAAATAAAAATCTATTAAAAAAATGAATATAAAAAGAAAAAAACACTGGGCTGGAGTTGTAGCTTAGCGGTAAGCATGTTCCTAGCATGCATGAGGCCTCAGGTTTGATCCTTGGCACTGCAAACAGAAAATAATATTAGTTATCCTATTGAAATGTTAAATGTATAGAATTATGCAAAGTCATTCATGTGATTTTACTGTGTCTGATTTCATACTTATATCCACATCTGTACTTTCTATTGACTTCGGTGACAGTACATTGTTTACTTCATAAAAGCCCAGCTAAATAACTAAATATGTGCTGTACCACATATTCAAAGAATTCCTTTTATCATATATTTAAACATGATAAAAATTTATAAATTGTAAATTTTTTTCTGTCCCAATTTTCTGGGAAGTTTTAATCTTGCAGCAGCTGGGAGAATTTCGCACAGATATGGGGACCTGGGGTGCATTTTCTTATCTTGTCCTCTTGGAAATGTCACTTGGTAGCTTAAAAAGTAATTGTCTTTAGTTAATATTTTCTCCTTCTCCCCTTTCCCTGTCTCGTCTCCCTCCCCTCTTCCCTCCTGCCTGAAGTCCTGGGCTCCTGGGATCCTGCTGAAGGTTGTGAGCACAGTCACATAGCATGCTTTCTCTCTCTTCTTAGTGATGGGTACAGGCTGGCTCCACGGCGGCGGTATCAAGCTGGAATTTTAACATTCTCTATTTGGGGATGAAACTGCCGCCTGTTAACCATGCATACTGGCTTTTCTCAAGTCTAGCATTGTGCTAGACCCTGGGTCTAACCAAGGCGGTAGTCGGTAGTCTGAGCTGCGGGGCTTTGTGCTTTAAAGGCAAACACCTAAGCTTCGACTCTCAGCTCCCTAGAATAAGCATCACCATAGAGTTCCTGCTCTGTCCACCATTGAGTTTCTGGCTGTAGGGCCCAGCCATGATGAGCTTAATAGGAACAGACCACCCAAAGGAAGTTCTTAACTTTCAACCATTATCACCTGCCAGTGTAGGTAGGACTTAGCCTTGATAAGATTAATAGAGGCCTGAGTCTCAGTAGTTTAGCCTGAGGCAATACCTGGTTGCAGGAAGGACCACAAACTGAGATTACCCAGGCACC